ATAAAAAAGTTTAGTACTACTATACAATCGTATTTCATTTGAAGAAGTTTATACTATATTTATTTTTAAAATTATTCCACTATGTTGATAGGAAAGAAAGATTCTGGCAGAGTGCAAACGAATTAATTTCTTTGAAGAAAATCAAAAATTTATGATTTTATTACATGGCGAGAGAACCGGCGAGATTTTTGAAAGACGCAAGCTCTTAGTTTTTTTGTCTGTGTCGTGATAAATGAACATAAATTTTGTGGAAATGAATAAAGAAATGGAAAATATAACAAGAGTTGAAAGAAGTATGGCGAGGTGTGGAAAGTTATTGAAGCTTGGTAAACAAGGAACTCGGCACCTCATATTTCATCACACAGCACATCATTATTCAAAATCACAGTCAAATAAGTGAACGGAAAACCCGTATATAAATAAATAAATGTAATATATGTTTATATGTATTAGTGTATGTATATATATATATATATATATATATATATATATATATATATATGTAATTATTAGTAAATTATATGAAGATAAATAAATAAATAAATAAAGGAATGAATGAATGAATGTAGTATATACGTTTTTGTAGTCATAAATATATATTAGGTTGTTGTTTGAAGCAATTAATTTTTGACAAAAACAAAATTTTGCTTTTTTTGAATGGAGGTTGTCTACCGGTCGTGTTAATTTTTTAATTGCACTCAATAATATGGCTTAACTCTATATAAGTTGTGGACATTTTTATTGATACAAGACGTTAATAAAAACAAATACAATCTTGGTACGATGTCAATCTGTGAGAGCTCATATTATTTTTCAATCAAGTCATTTTCAAAATTTTAACATTTGCAAAAGTAACTCCACCACATCAAATGTAAGCCAAATGTTTTATCTCTGCTGGAAATGCATTCCAACGCATTACACGCGTTACACACATTATATAGTGAACCGGTTGCGAGCGAGTCACATTTGGAGCATAAAGCCGGAATTATATAATGGGAAGTCGCACAATTTATTTTATGGAAATGTTCACAAAAGAACGCATAAATCCCGATCTCATAAGAATCTCAGCCGCGTTGGCTACGTGGCAAACTTTCATTTCGAACTAACATCCATGGTTCATGGCTCGTTTTAATACTTAAAATCTAATTGCTATTAAATTAAAAAGAAATATAAACATACCGAAAATAAAAGTATAACTAATTTCTTTTATTTAAAACAGTATATTAAAAATATTGTGAAGATAAGAGTTATAAATAAGAAGTTAAAGTGAGAAATAAAATAATTAATGACGATGACATCAAAGACGAGTTTCATGTTAAACAGTTGAAACATTCATAGGCCTAGGAACGAAACTAGTAAAAATGAATAATTAAAAACTAATATTAAACTTGTTTCTGTTTATTCAAATGTTCCCTACTGTTCGATCATATTCTTATGAAATTTGTTTACCTTCAATTTTGGGAATGTTAAGAGTTTTACATTATAAGAAAATAACACGTAGGATCAATGAAAAGTTGAAAGGATAATATTTAAGTGAAGATCATTATGAAAACCTTCATTGATACTTCAGTGAAGTAATTCAAAATATTGTGGGATAAGGTTTTTTCTAATAAATTTGTTTGTTTTAAAATTTATCATGCATATATTGTATAAAATATTTTGACTGGCCATAAATTGGCTCGTTCAAGCGAGAGAACAAACAATTTTCTTCGAAAATTATTCTCATGCAATCATTATAAATAATTTTTCCTATCTTCATATGCCGTCTGCTCTCCACTATGGCCGTCCTTGTTTATTTTTACTCTCCCTCCCTATCTAATAATCATCATTATACAAAATTTTTTTAACTTTTTTCAAAATTAATTTTCGACCTGGTGAAATATTTTGTTTTCTGTTAAGTAAATTAATGGCGAAAATTACTCACATACATTAAAGTTTTAATTATTTATTCATCAATGTTTTTCTCCATGTAGGTACACAAGTATGCTCATTAGAAATGTTAGAAAACGTGTGGGTAATTTATCTTCCCTTAATACACCAGCGACCAGAGCTCTTTGTTCTGCGGCGAATTAAATCTTTATAAACTTGATTGATATTTTAAATAAATCTAACAAGTCGTTCTTCATGGCATCTATTAACTTGAGCTGTTTATTTCTTTTTTTAAACTTCCTTTTAACAATTTTAAATGGAATTAATTTGCACTCTTTGATTGGAGTAAAAAAATATTGTTCAGTGGATTATTATTATAGAATGAGTTTAAGCGTCATCATGGACGTCGTCGTCATCACGAAATGCCCGCAGTGTGTGAGGAGAGCATGTACTCGCATGAACATTAATAAGACCTCATTAGTTCACGTTACCGAATGCCCTGGCATGACTCGTTCCTTTTCAAATCATCAATAAACCAACATGTACCTCCTCACATGTACTGCTACCTCCACACAACATAACGTACAGTTTCTCTCTCGTAAAGAAAGCTCAAACGTTGACACATCGCTAAATATTAGAAAAGATTAATTTAATTGCACGTTAGACTTTAAACCACGTACACATGATGAATGTATGCGAATATATTACGTACACAAATATGGATAAGGTTTTGAAACGAAAAAATTATTTAGTGCTTATTTATTTTGAAAAATCCGACCATAGCAATGAAATGAAAAATTGTGATGAACATTTGAAGCGTGTGACCGTGACCACCACTGTTGTCATCATCAGAGCACTATAACATGGACTAAAAGTAATGCTTGTAATGTGATTCCAAGTGCTAATATGAAACAAAGTGGCCATAAAATGATGGTAAATAAAACGTAAAAAGGGTTTAACTATACATGCCAAAGCAATAAAATTAATAAAACAAACAGCTTGTTTAATAAGAAGTTGATTGCGTTGGTTTAGAGGAGTTATATAAAATTAATATGTTATGTGTTACATTGAAAGTGGGCACAAAATTATTGAAAGTCGATTTTCAGTAAAAAAAAATAAATTTAAGCATCTATATAAAAATGGAAAATAATTTGAAGGAGGTTTATAATAACTGAAATATGTTGAGCAGATGAGTTGAACATGAACTTTAACTTGAGAATAGCCACTAATAAATAATTTGCAAGATAGAAAAGTTTTAGGGTTGATGAATAGTTGCAGATTGGATAAACTGTGAATTGTGGCGGTTAAAACTGCATTTGATAACACCAGCTGATGACAGATGGAGGATGCAAAGAGTCTGGTATATTTGTAGTTGTGGTGAGTACTGGAGAGGTGGCTGGCTCACGGTGGCATCACATCAAGAACTGAGTTGAGCGGTTTGTAGGTGTGTGCCGAAAATTTCAAAACATGTGGAAATTTTTATGGTAAGAGGAGATAAAATAAATTTTTTGCAGACCTGCATAATCTTCTTGCTTATACACTATAATATACAATAATATAATATAACGTAACGTTACATCCTATGATAAAACGCTAATCGAAAGTTTCATACATATTATTGTGTCAGTTGCAAATGCTATTCAGTTAAACTGAAAATTTCAACAAACCATGAATATGATATTAAATAATATTTAAAATAAACAAAAAATTTAAAACCGTAATTCAATTAAATTTTCAATTATTCTTTTGATAATTATTCCATAAATTCATATACTCCTGTCATCTAGGGTTAATCAACGTTAATCTAATATTTTGTCATTGAATAAGCACTAACTTTTTCTCGCTGGGACTTACCATTTTGTGTAGAATAAACAAACACGTTGGAAGCAAATGCATAATTCTTGCTGGCACCTGACACAATCTAGATGTCACGTTATAAATAATTTCTCCTTTGTACACGTGTGTCTCATAAAAATACCTTCCTCCTGCAACCCATACACGGCTGACGGCGTCGATGACTTTTTATAGATCAGTCCGCACAAAGCCTATTGAAAAATTCTAAATTATTTTGTCAATGAGAGATGTAGATACAATTTTTTTAAGAAATATTTTTGGATAAAAAAATTTTTAGGTTTTTTTTAAATTGTAAAAAGTTTATCGTTTATTCATCATTTATGACATTTTATGCCAAGAAAGTGTTTCAACCATCGATTTTTTAACAATTTTTTTTCTCTCTACTTTTCAATATTGATATTCAATATTCACCGAAGTAAATTCGATTAGAAACCAATCCAACCACTTGGCAAATGTATTCAAATAGTTAGACATGACGCCGGGTTGAGGTCTTTGAAAGAAAACAAAATAAACCGCGAACCTCAGTGAAGGTGGCTCTGACGTAGCAACTAATGGAAGTCTCTGTTATTGATATTGATTACCAGCTGCTCTACTCATTCCCTATTGAATGGAAAAGTTATCAAAATCACACGAAATAACGAAATATTTTCAATTAAGCTTTAACAGCAATATAACCCGACATGCAATTTTCTGTAACATTTATTTGGAATGATACAGACTATTATTAAACCGCCTCGTTTTTTGAACACAAACGGTTTTGAAGTTAAGAGAGATATTTTTTAAATTTTTATTTGACATACTCCAATGTATCAAAATGTGCCCGCGTTAATCACTATTTTTTAGTTCAGTAGACAAAAACATGATATTTGATCAAATATTTTGCTCATCTTTATTTTTATAAAAAAAGTGAATACTCATAAGTGAAAAAATAAATACTCATTTCTTTGAAAATTAAAAAATAACCTCACAAAAGTAGTGAATTTGTAAAAGATTATCCCCTTTGAAATTTTATAAGTTTACAGAAACAAATGAAGAAAAAATGTATGAGGATTACGTGCAAAATTGAATAGCTCTGAGTGTATTAGTTTTATTAAGATTACTGCTTACTTCTTGGAAACTTGATCACAGAGTATATTAGTTGTAAAAACAGCAATATTGTTATTATCTAGAAAAGTGACTACTTTATGACAAAATTAATTTAAGAAATACATGTTTTATGTCAATCTTAAAGTTTTGCGTGTTATTAATTTACAATAAAGACGTATTTAAAATAAATCTTAGTGTTTTCTGATCATGGCGTTGACTGCTTGGGCGATCTTCCCTGGAAGACCTGGCTTGGTGAGGTGCACGGTCGGTACGCAGTGCGGGCAAGTTTTTGTGGGTGAGTGTTGCTTCATGATTTTGAACTGCACCCTTCGTCCCTGTAGTTTTTGTTGTTAACAGTTTGTTTTTATTTACATCTAAACTTGGTTTTTAGTAAATGTTTATTTTTCCTTATGGATTAATTATTTTATCCAAATTTGTTTGTCTATTAAATTTTTTAAATTAAATATCCAATTTCCTTCATGGTCTTCTTTACTTTAGGTTTTAAATTTAAAATATTGTCTTCGTGTTTTTATAGACACTTGTAATAGGCACAAATATCGTCTCATGGCTTCAAACCTTATTTTTTGGTTTTTTTATTCGATAAATGAAATTTCTTAATAAATAAATGAAAATAAAACTGTTTTAGTGCATCATAAAAAAATATAAAGGTGCAAATAGCAGAGTTTTGTTGTGCCTTCAGCGGGTTTTAGCAGAAAACAAATCTGTGTTTTCAATTTGTTTTAAAATAAATTAAACTCTGAAAAATAAAATATCAAAATTGAATGTTAGGTGCATTCATAATTATTTGTTCTTATATTGTGTACAAGCGATTCTTGCTATTCAAATTTGCATGTTATACTAATCTTCTTCCGACTTTTCAGTGTTTCATTCCCTGTTACAAGCCTCGCTAGAAGAACCATATCTCTTGTCCAATAAAAGTTTTCAAATGACTTTTAACGCCTTTTAAGACAAAAAATGATCTTAACGTCTTGCTTACGGAGGTTTATTGCTTTGTTTCAACGTTAGGGAAAATGTACAAGGTACTGTAAAGATTGGAATTTAATTTTTCAGTTCTTTGTCTGCTGTCGATTAACTTTCTCAAACCAATTGTATCAGAATACAAAAGTATCTTCCCTTCTGATAAATTTTATATTTTCAACATTTTCAAAATTTGTCCACAAATATATTGTTGTTGGAATTTTTTCACATTATTTCGCAAGTTTCGCAAATGACATGAAATGTGTTTTTTTTTAATCATAATGGTTGATTGGTTAAACGCATTTATTTCATTGTCTGGATTTCGTCAAAAGTATATTTCAATTTTTTTGTACTTTTTTTTGAGGGATTTCTAATTACATTTGCATTATTTTTTCACAAAAAACGTTAATTAAACATATCCTAATAGAACAACAGTTTTCATATAATTTTTATTATATTAAAAAATTTAAAATAATAATCTCATCTCCTGAGATTGTTCATTTTAATAAATGCATATTTAATAAAAGTTTGAAAACATGCAAAAAGATTCTAAAAAGTTTCAAAACATGAGGTTCTGGGTGGTAACATTAAATTAAATGCAGACTGAAAAACAAATGTCGGAGTGAAAAAAATTTGAGTTAAAAAAAATTTGTCATGTTGATTTATCAACACAACTTCGCGTAGTTTTATTTTAAAATATTAAATTTAAAAATCTGTTAACCTTATGAATATTGTCTCTGGTTTTATATCTCGAAGATAAAAAAAATCATTATTAAAAGATTTTCAGACTTTTAAAAAGACAAATTGTTGAAAATTCTAAGAAACTTTAACCAATCTCAAAAGATAAAAATCAGACAATGTGTGCTGAAGTGTTGAGTTACGTACGCAATTTCTGCTTCCAGAGTAATATAGAAATATATTTTCATTAAATTTAAGTCTTCAGAACTTGCTTTGATACGTTCTGCCAAATTATAAGCATACTTCTCGTTGTGTGAACAAATTGTGTTTATGACGGGACCTCAACTAATGAAACGTAAACATGGAAAAAAATTAAATGGAAAAATTTCATGTAAAATAAATTTTTGGAACTTCATTCAGGTCGACCGTTGTGAATTTTAATCCATCAAAATTGGCCGATTAAAAAAATACGTTTGCCACCCAAGGCGTGATTAATTGTAGAGAAATGTTTTCTAGGAGATTATTAAAAAATTCTCCTCTATCCGTGAAAATTGAATTTTTATAGAATTCTGTTCTGATATGTTCCTTGGACATAAATAACGTCTATGGTTCCTGCTACCATTATATTGATTATTATTATTGTTGTTAATTTTATATTTAATTTTTAAGTTGTGAGACTTTGTATCTTAACGCTCTAAAATCAGAACTGGTATTTAGTGTGTAGCGGTTAGGTCGAAGTTTTCACTGAAATTGGTTAGTTAATTAAGCGATTTTTACTAGATCAATTTTTTACTACTACAATAATTTGTATTTTAAGTGTATCAATAGAACCCTAAATTATTTTTTTAATTGAAGTCAGTAAAAATCAAAAACATTCAATGTTGCGGACACACAAATCAACCTTAAATGGAAATATGTCAGAGGTTAAACAAAATTTCTTTAACTTTCTCGTCCACACGATTGACGTAACTGTCTTTTTCATTTTCTGATACACATCTCGGACGAAAGTAAATAACATTAAATCATTAACGAACTAAAATTTTCAGTCTTCTTATTACCAAAAGCATTTGTTACAACTGCATAGAAATAATTGTTGTTAATGGTGGTAGAATTTTAACAACCAAATAACACAAATACATTTTATTAACTTTACGAAGATGTTGGTTTATTTCACATTTCACTCGCGTCGATCGCTTATAATATTTTTTTTAATTGACAGCGAGAGAAAATGTTTAAAAATTGTTCAAAAATATTCAGGAAGCCAAAAATCCATTAAAATAATGAAAAAATTATTTTAGTTATAGAAGTGATAATAAACTTTAATTGAATTATGTATGACATCATCATGCCGATAAATGTTTGATTCTGAATAATTTCTTGAAATTCACACTCTAAAAATAATAAAACGAAAAATGTTTGATAATTTAATTAATGAAATTTTTCGCTGATCAAATGCACCGAGAAATATTATTAAATTTTAAAATTTCATAGTTTCACGTACCCACATAAACCTTCAATACTTTCATCTCCGTTATGCAGTTCATTAAAACTGAAGTTCTAATATTATTTTAAATTGAAAAAAATTATGAATTATTTTTAGACTTTGAACTTTATCAATGTTATTAAAAAAACTTATATAAATAAACATATGAAATAAACTGAATGAAATAAAGATTTCTGACACTGCTTTGCATGTCTGGGTTCGTTTGCCATAGACGTGCATTGTTTGGGATGTGTTGATTGATGTGTATGTGAAAAAATAATTGAAAAAGTAGATTTTCCAAAAAAGTTATTTTTACAATCACGCTCATCTACTTTCGTTAACAGAAAGTGAAAGTTGGAAATATGAAGATTAATTTTCATTCTTTGTACTATCTGACACCATCATTCATCATCATTGTTATTGCTGTCATCGGCAGTTTTTATATCAGTTTATTTTTAACGATCTACCTCCTTTCTTGGTGTTAATGTCATTGCTGTGATGACTGTTGTGACCGCTGTCCTTGTTTTCTGGGTTGTCATAATTGGTATTTACATCAACCATTAATACATTATAATCATTGCCATCATTGAAGGCACCATAACAGCGACGAAGAACCTCAGAGCTTGATCGCATCCATCATGTTGTTTCTCACATTCACGCTCATATTTTTAATATTCAATTTTTTACAAAATATTCTAATTAGAAATTCTTTTACATTAGTTTTTGAGTTAATTTTGTCTGAATAATTTTTTGTTTAATTTTGTTTTGTTAATTTTTCGTGATTATATACAGATAATAATTGATTGAACATTAACAGACAGAGATTGAATGGGCTGCGTGCGTGCGTACAAAAGCAAATATTTTTCATCCTTTAATATTATTACTGCTAATTAAATTTTCTTTATTGAAGACATTGAAACTTGATCCCTATGCATACATATGCCCTGATTGATGATAAAAAATTTTTTTATGAAATGATATACATCTTTTTTTGTTAAACGTTTGAACTAACATTTTTTAAAAATAAATTTGAAGACGATTTTTAACTTTTGAGCATGTGTTCAACAAAGTTTTCAAGTTACATTATAATTTCATGTCTGTCCGTCAGATGAAATGCCGTAACGAAATGATTCATCTTTTTGAGATGATTGCAACACAATGCTAACTAGAAAACACGTAGCAACTTCATAAATTTTCCAGTCTCAACAGTTTTATCAACATTTTTGTGAATGTTGATAATGGGAAGTGCACGCCATTCAGCAACATTTCACATTGCCAATAACAGTTTCTCGCTCTTCCTCGTTAATCAAGTGGCTTTGTGTGTGTGTCTTTTGATTTAAATTCATTTTTGTTTTATAATTGAGGTATTTTTGTTACCAATATTTTTCACCAAAAACTTATTTCATTCAGTTTATTTAATATGTTTATTTATATAAGTTTTTTCTTAAAAACACGCGTATTTGCATGCCTAAGTTTGTACCCATAACAACATCACAAATTGTATAAAGAAATGTTTTCAAAAACATAACAGCAACGTTCTTTAATATTATTTCAATTTTCCATAATTTTAGTTTAAATTTTTATTACAAAATTATTAAAATAAAAATTTTTTAAAAGTTGAACTAACATCATTCGCAGATGGGTACGTTCACCAACTTCCCTTCTATTTTTGGTCCAAGACATGGTTTCACCTTGGGGAAAAAAATTATCAACATATTTCAATGAAAAATAAAAGTGCAAAAATAATACTTTAATAAAAAGTTAAAAAATCCTTAATAACAATAATAAACAATAATAATACATTGTCTTTAGCGAAAAATAAATAATCATTAAGGTGCTCAGCTAGCGAGCGTGGGAGCCGCATTTTCAATTGTTATTAATGATTAGAAAAATAAAAAGTTGAACAACAGACCACGCACAAACAAACTGGAGCCATGAAAAATTAATTCAAACATCTCTTCAAATGAACGTTTTCTCTGCTTAATATGATGAGGCTGAACTTTATTAGGAATTCCACTTTTTGAATTTACATGTTTGAAGTTGATGATGTCAAACTAAATTAAAATTTCAAAATGCTGATGATGACCTTTAACAGTTGTCGGAATATGATAATAAGATGTAGTTGGAAAACTAGAAAACTCAAATAAAAAATTGAATTAGACATTAAATGCAACGGATTCCAATGAAATAAGTCAAAGGGTAGTCGTAGCAGCTTGATTATTATTATATGCGCAGTGTTGAATTAAATGGATGTAGGTTGGACAACGTCAATTTCTCGGGAATCCAGGGAGTAGTGAGTGCTTAAAAAATTGGCTGGCAGAAGTAAATTTTTAAATTTAAAAGCAAGCGTTAAATGGAAGAGTTTTGCTTTTTAACAAGGTGGTAAAATAATCAAAATTTATCAAAATGCTTATCACAAAATAACTTAAAACAGAATATATTAATAAACATTTATTTAAAATTTCTTAACAAAAATTTAATTTATGTCAATGAAATGAAGAAGTAACCTCGTGACAGTTGATGTGCCTGAAGACGGCCACTGGCTCGTCATCGACCCTGCAGGTCTGTGTTGGGAGCGACCAGACCCCCCACGATATCAACGTTTGAATGTTGTTCACTGTGAAAGTTTCATCAGTCACGTTTCAAAAACATTTTTAAACATTTACAACTGAACTCACAATTACTTCAACAGTAGAAATTGAATTGAAGGAGTAATACTCTGGTCTGGTCAATTCACTGCGTATTAATAACTTACAATGGTTTTGACACCCACGTCACAATTACGTCACACGCCATCATGTTGCATTTTTATACATTTTGTCATGCAATTCAGTCATCCATGTTTTTGCGAATTTCAATGTTTACAATCATTCGTCCCTCGTGTAATTGAAATTGTCCAACACGATGTCATAATGACGTGTCGTAAGGCCATCTATCTTTTGTGGTTCATTTCCATTTTCTCCTTTCGTTTACGTCTGCATGTATTTAATTGAATACGACTGCAGACCGACTGGCTGGCAAATTTCATAAACCTTATGGAATATTTTATGAAATAAAAAAGGCCAAACCTATTTTGGGTGAAATTTGCTTCAACTATTTTATGTCTTGATTCTTTGTTTTTGTCTTTTTTCGTGTTGTTAATAATAATAATTAAAAATAATAACGTGTCTCTCATTAAAATGACCTGTGTGTGCAAAAGCGTTAACCCATGGCGCAAGCTGTTCCAATGCAAAATGTCAACCTGCTACGAAGCACTTAACGGTTTGAAAAAAAATGGAAAATTAGAGCGATGTGTTAAAATTTGTTTGATTGTTTCACTTTAAATTTTTCAATTTATAAATGTTCTTATAGTTCACAGACATTTAAAATTTTATAGGAGCTATAATTTCAACTTTGTTCAACTGAACTAATTACATTAATGCTTCCAATATTGAATGCGTAGTTTTAAAATTAGGGACATATATGAAATAAGAAAAATCTTATTTATCATTAACTGATCGTGCCTTTCTTTGGACTGAAGCTCCATCGACAGATCGACTGACGCACTGTGAAATGTTACTGCAAATGATCATTTGACTTGTTTGAATTGATAACAACGAATTTCCATTTTGAATCTCGCCAAGTTAAAACATCGTCGCTAAATATTTTTAAACTTTTGATAACCTTGACCTTCGTATGCCACCTAGAGATCTGTGGACAGATGTTGGCTCGCAAATTTGTTTGCATAGACACACAAGATATAAGTAAATAGAATCAAATTGTCTGTACACATTCTTTTCAAACCGTGCACTTCCACACGCGACATACATAGCAGACTTCATTCATGTTACGCTTTCTACTGCTATTAAATCTATTATTGACGACCGAGCTTGTTTGATCGTTGTGCTACCAGCCCACCCAGTTTTTCGAGTGCTTACATTTTCCACGATATTCACGAAGTAGGCAAGACGTGAAGGAATTGTAACTCACTAAAAACATTTAATTATAACAACTTTAAGCTGTTACTTGATTCTCATTCTAATGTTTTAGGTGATTTTTCTAATATTCAAGTTGGTTGGTTGTTATTTGGGTTAATCTCTTTTGAGTGAGTTTAAGAATTTAAAAAACTATCAATGAGTAACTTCTTTAAAAATACTTTTAGTAACTTTTAGAAACCTGATCAACAGTCATTGTCAAAGCAAGCAATTATGAATGGGCGCTCTATAGTTCCTTCTAGTATAATATATTCATTCCTTAGTTTAGCGTCCATGTCACTGATATATGCATGTGTGAAATTGTTTAAGAGAAAATGTTTTAAAAATTTGAAAAACCACGGCGAACGACCGGCGAACAGTGTTCCACGATCGATTAAACTTCATCCCGTCGGCAAACAACTTCAACAGCAAAATAAAGTACATTGTTATAATACATTAAAAATAATAACACATGAAAACATAACATTTTAAAAGACCATTATAATAAAAAAATGAAGATAATTTTAAAAAAAGAAGATATAAAACGAAATACAACAGCTGCGTAGGAAATATTGACATACCCCACCTGACCACATGGTGTCCAGTTTGTAGAAGTCCCAGTTGGCCCAGCTGAATGGACTTTCATCGTCAGCACCTTCGTAACGATTTAAATTCAAATGAAGAATCCTTTCCATTGGCGTTATGTCATAATAAAAAAACGTTTATGATCAAATCATATTACAAAAGGCCAGACAGGATGCCAGCTGACTGATACAAATGAATTGATATTCATTGTAAACCACTTTGAAGAACTAAAAACTAGACTAAGATAGACAAATTTTTTTAATAATGAAAATCTTTAAAAATTATTGCACATAAAAAAGTAACAAAAATAAAAAAAATATTGTAATAAAACAAATGAAGTTAAAAAGAATAAAAAAAACCCAAGGCAGCAATAAAAAGCAACCAAATAAACTTGAATAAACAGTGAAAATATATCAATTAGAAGAACAAGTTGACAAAAGTAAAAAATAAACAGCAGACCGCCACAAACATGAACATTGACAAGAGCATTAAAAACAACAACAAAAAAAACAAACTACAACAAACAACAACAACATGCCAAACGATTACGACACAACCAGCATCCTAATTAATAAAGGTAACAACATGAATAACAACATAGATATGTCTAATAACATAGATAATAACACAAACTACAACAACAGCAACAACAGAAAAAGCAAAATCATAAATAACAACATAAATTACAACAACGTAAAGAACTGCTGCTGCAAAAACTACAACAGTTACGTGATCATAAACAACATAAACAACTACATAAACAACACAAACAGCATAAACAACAACAGCAACGGCATAAACAGCAGCAGCATGAGAAACAGAACATCTTCAACAACAACAATATAAACAATAACCAAATTAACACCAACAATCCCAAAAACAACAACCACAACAACAATTACAACATCACCACCTCCACCAACAAAAACAACAGCCACAACAACGATAACAACAACGATAACAGCAACCGCTACAACGACACCAACAGACCTAACAACATAAACAACAACAACAACACCATCAACAAAAAACAACCACAACAATATCATCAACAACGCCAACAATCCTAACAACAATCCCAGCATCAACCACATC